AAACTTAGATAGGATTTATTTAGTTAGAATTAAAGGAAATGCTAAATTAGTGCTAACACATGGTCATCAATTAACTTTAATGCCAATAATGCCAAAGCGTTAAGCTAAATGGTTAATATTAATGCAAAAGTGTTAGAATTATTTTAATACTAATGCTAAAATGTCTCCACTAAAGTCGCCTTTTTTTGGCACGAGAGATTTGTCACTTATAGGGTATTGTAGGGAAAAATCTTTTAAGATAATTTTTTTTTTCATAAATCAAGTGGTATAGATTCTTATTCCAGTATACTATTGGTAATCAAGAAAAATAGTTTAGACTGCAGGTATAGGTTACCGTATACTTGCTTTGGGTTGGAAGCACTTGTGAGCGTCGTGCATTTTACCAATGCTTTATCGAATATCAATCGAATTTGCAAAAATAAAATAATTGTAAACATAGGAAGGGCCATAAAAATATTGAGCGAAATATAACTCACAACTGCGTCTTGACTTTGTTGGTAAGAAAACATGGATACCTAGCGACGTCAATTGCTAGGCACGAGCACATGATACTTACATGGAATGAAAACTGTTCGTGAAAGTCAACTGTTATTTACGATGAAATATGGTAGAAAACGATGCTTCTTTATTAAACCGTTTACAGTTGACGCATTGTTACATTAGTCATTAACGGTGATTGTCTACAGTCATTATTTACAATGGTCATAATACATTGTAAAGCATTGTTTACGGTCTCCGTCTAAGTACACTAAACATTAATGGCAATTTTTCACGGTCATCGCTTACGATGACTGTAAATATGGTAAAATTTTGTTATATTCACTGTAGACGGTTTCAATAAAGGTTTGCCGTTTCTCATCGTAATTGATTGGTACACGATAGTGTATGACCGAGGACGATCGATCCAAGCTTTTATGTTTTCTATGCTGAAATACACGAAAAATGAGACAAGTTGGCTGCACTCGTAAGTATTTCATGTCTGAAGACATAACAATCTTCGCACAGTTCCTAAAAGTGGTGTAATGTCGTCTTTCAACCAACTTAAAAAAAGTATTTTTCTCTTTCTTTTATTGTGTCCTTATGAATACAGTTTTCAATAAGAAGAAAAAAGAGAGACATTTAAGTAGCTTTTTATTGATGAAAGTCACATTTCGATGAAAGAAAGAAAACTTTTTCCATTATATATGTGGCATCAAATCTGAAAGTGTTCAAGCACCTGAGGAAGTGCATAAATGGGTATAGTACTATTATTTTTCCAACAGGTAATCTCGGAAGAAAAATTGATTATACACTATTTTATTCAGACACCAACTGTTGTTTTATAATTATCCATCATTTGTTCAACATTCATTCCTTAGAATGCGTCAGAGCAGTTTCGATGTTGACATTATTTGGTATCCATTGCATTGGCTAAGTAGTCTTACTTGATCTATATCTGATCATCAAAATACAATCATAGCCATTCAGTGGCTAATCTGTTTGATTCCATTGCTCATTGAACTGGTCATTATTATTCATTCAATGAGCTCTTCTTTCGTTCTCATTCTGTATTAATATGAAATTCAAACGTATTCCAATCGATAGAATGATACTTTTCATAATCGAACACACAGTGACATTATTAAAATTTTTCATCATACGAATAGGCTGAATGACGTTGGCAAAAAGCACAGTATAAGATGTTGTTTTCATTGTAATTAGGGGTATACTGGATTGTTATTACTGGTTATAAGTAATTATTAAATAAGGCTATTACTTATGACTAATAGATACTGATATTTTTTTGTAGATTAATTAAAACTAGAGAAATAACAGGAAATAAAGTAATAAAAAACGAAAGTGACCACGATTATTACTACTTACTACTACTAATAAGTAATGATTACGAAAGAGTAATAAAATAATGTACAAGTAAGATAGTAGAGACTTTCTAATCATCTGTTGGATTTCCACTTCCATACTAAAACATCACAACAACTTTAAATTCTATTATTTATCGTAAGTTGATCTCAATATTTGTGCATTATTGATAGAATCAATGCAGTTACTGGATGGTGTAGATCATAATTGATTGAATGAAAATAAACCAAAAATATGTAGTGTATCATGTAATAAAGTTTTATTGTTTTGAAAATTTTAAATCAGGCATTTTTAGCCTTATATGAGCATATGTATTTGCATAGGTTTAGATAATTATCATGATCTTAATAATTTAATATGTATCAGATTACATTTTGCTATTCATGGTTTTCTTTATTCATTAATAACAGGAAGAAATTGATGCATGTTATGAATTTCAGATTTATGTTAATATGAAAGGATCTTGTCATTATTGTTAATGTTGAACACTCTTCCTAGGCTATGATCTATAGTTAGGACTTTAGTCATCAGTATGACATCTTGTATTGAATATATGCTATATATAAACCAAAGGCCGAAAAGTTATTATTCGTAAAGTTACCAATTAAAATTCGAAGATCTAGCAACTGTGATACTTGTTTTCTTCTGTAGAAGTGCGATTGGTCAATCAATTTTAGGTTGTGATGGCATCATCTAAATATCGGTAAAAATTACTTATAATTCTTTGGATACTCATTCTTTCTTAAAAGAGAACTTAACTGGGGTTCTATGATCAAGATAGTCTTATAAAAGCTGCTATTCTACGTTTCCTATCTTGTGATTCTCGAAAGAGTTTTGCTTGAGTTGTATAATCGAACTCCTTTGAAGTCTTTTGATGATGCTTGTAATACGATCTTGTTGGATCTGACATCTAATCCTTTTTGCCTAAGTAACAATCTCTTAATTGATTCTTTCGACGGGGAATTTGTCTCTAAAAAGAAATTATGAAGAACATCCAAGTACATGCATGTATTTCTGCAGCACAAAAGTACGTTTTTTTCGGTTACATGGTGCTCCTTGAAAACAGCAGCTATTTAGTATTTCACATTTTCATCCAACAGAAATTGCGCTAATATTTTTTGTATAAATGAGAGAATATAAGAGGAGTCTCACAATATTCATTATTTTTCCACAATTAAGAATAAAACAATTTTGACAGTTATTTACAGCCATATTTACTTAGTTTTATTACAAGAAAAGACATACATGATAGTAATGGTTCAGATTAGAAAAAATTAAAAACAACATCACATCGACTTCACTCGGTTCTCATATTAAACAATTAATCTACAAGGCCTTGTATGATTCATACAAGATCATATTGGAACTTAGTGTATAATCTTCTGAAACCATAGAAAATCGTATACGATCTTGTATAATTCTCAATGTCAAACTCAAAGTCAACATTTCTTATCATATCATACTATCATACTATAGTGTTCTTGTATAATCTTAGTGTCAAATTTTATGACACGGATGCGAGACTTTTCAGGGTTTTCTAGAGTATCGTATAGCTGATTTTGTCTTATTTTCAGCTTCTATTCAATTATTTTAGTAAGAAAGTTTTGTATCTTAAGTCAACTAGTGGATATTATTATTGTATATGGTGGACTAAGCTGCCGTTATTGTTGTCTATAATACTAGAATATTTGTTTGTAGAGAAGAAACCACAGATATATTTATGACTGTACTATTTGCTGAGAAATAAATCGAGGAGTAAGTGGCTTCGATAGTATTTCTTTCGGTAATCAATTCAACTATGGAATCAAATTGCCGGTGTTTTCACGGCTATCGGTGAGTGAAAACCTATTAAACATCAGATGATAATTATAGAGAAGAAAGTTCTTATGTGAATAAAAACTTTAAAAACTAATAATGACTTTTATAGTTTGTAACTGTATGCATTACTAGACTTGTTTTCTTACATTGAATCGTGCATATTCGTTTGACAAAAGAAGGTGCACTAGAAAGTCTGTATTTAACATATACAATGTGTTTTTCTTTTCGTAAAAGAATTGAAAGCAAAGTCTTGATTGTTGTAGCTCATTGTGAAAGTTAGACATTAGCAGCATCAGATGCTATTATTACTATGATAAAAAAAAGAGATGTCAAAACATAGTGACAGAAAAGAACAACATCAATTACATAATACATTTGAGGTACATGACACTCTTTTGAATACAATTGAGAATTCATTCACAAACTATTTATTTATTTTTTCACTATGATTGTCAATTGAATATAGATGCACCAAGTCATGATCAACAAAATAGCCAAATTAATAATAATTAAAATCAATTCAATATACAAATCACTCATATGATCAACTTTCATTTTGATTTTATATCAAAAAAAATCTAGACTAATATATTTCGTAACAGATTTTATTTTACTATAAATGCAAAAAGAAAAATACAAGAAAATAACGAATAGTAGCAAACGAGTTCTTTTCGGACTGTTTTTATTTTGCATAGAAAAATAATTTTTTATGATATGAAAAGAACAATCACTGAAAAACAAATCACAGATTAGATACTATCTGAACATAGCATCATAATATGTTATAATAACGAATAATCGAAAAGTTTTTAAACAAGATGTTTGTTCACTTTTGAACCGATAGAAGAATATTTTCAAAGAGTTATTTTTTCTTTTTTTATGACCTGAAAAATTATTTTTAATGGTAAGCCAACAGGTTTTTATCAATCCTATGTAAGTCTCTTTTCGAACATGCTAGAAAGTATCAAAGTTAGTCATTTTGTAGAATAAACACTTATTTACAAAATGTGAAACTGAACTAAATCAAAAATGAGTGTTAATGAAAAATGAAAATCAAGGTATCTTCTCAAAAGACAGAAAAAGTTTGCACGGTAGCTTCTGATCTACAAGCTAATAATATTTTTGAACTTTTCAAAGATTATATCACTATTCTCGAACAAAAACTGAAACAAACTTTCTAAGTTTATATTCAAAAAGAGCACAAAATTATAATTGTTGACTCGTCAGATATACTTTGTATTGATTCAAAAAATTAACAAACATCTTGTCTTAAAACTTTCTTATCATCCATTATAGAACAAAACAAAAACAAATGTTATTGACTAAATATTATTCAATTTTTCTCGATGATCACTATTTAATAACCAAGAATTTTTAGCTGCCGTTATACATTGTCGTACTTGATGATCATTAAATTTTTGATCAAATAAAATTTGAGTGATTGCATTATAAAATTCATTTGATATTGTTGGTAAATTTTTTATATTACTTTTTTCATTATTTATTTGTGTATTTTTCAAAAGTAAAATTAATTTTTGAAGACCATTCTGTCTTTCATAAGCTTTCTTTGATTGAATCAAACGATTAAATGAGTTTAATGTATCTGTCGGCATTTTAAGATGAACTAAAAGTATATCCATTAATAATTGATCACATTGAGCATCATTTATAAATATCTATTCCAACAAAAAAGTCAAGAATAATGTTTGACAATTCTTTTTTTTTTTTTCAATATTTCAATATTTACCTTTCCACGATTCTTAGCAATCAATGTTGCCCATTCACCAAGTGATATATCAGTAAATTTTTGAGAATTTCGAAGTATAATTTGAAGAGCTTGTATGAATTTTGGAAGTAAAATTTCCGATGGAAGTTGTTCATTAAGAAGATATGTACGTAATTGTTGTACTACAAGTGAATTTTTTGATGCATCATTTGATTCCAAATAATGAAACATTTCACGATGTGCAGCCGAATGATCATTTTTATTATTATCTTTTGGAATAGCAGATACTAAAATTTTTTTTTGAAAAAAGTTATTGAAATAAGAACGATTTTTCAAAATCTTCGAAATATCAGTCCCTTTTTTTTTCTCTGTAAAATAAAGAGAAATCTTTGTTTTCTTAAACTATAATAAAATACCATTTATTTCGAATAAAAGAAAAAAGTTTAAAATAATCGAATGATCTATAGAACAGTTAAAACGTTCAGAATATTCTATCGATCATCCAACCGTTCTATGAGCTAAGTTTCAAGTTGAAATTTCGTTACTTGATTGTCAAGTAAATATGTAAAACTGGATCGAAAATTCAATAAAATGATTATAAGCCGACTTTAAAGGCTTATGTGAACGATCTCTTTTAAATATATTTAAACTTACTTGATTTATTTTCATCAGATTGATTATCGGATGTTTTTTTCCAACACGATTCTAATTGTTGTTTATATATAGACTGTTGAAACATTGCTGATTGTTGAGCAATATCTTTTAATTTTTCATAATTATGTTGTCGATTGAAAAGAATTTTTAATAATTGAATCATTATTTTTTTCCAATCTTCAATGGCATATTTTCCATTTTGAACTTTTAAAATCATTGTTATTTGATTAATTATTTGATCATTTTCTTGATTATTATCAATTAAATTTAAAAATATTTTTGGTGATGAATGAATATTTAGTTGAAGTAAATCAATAAGAAATCGTAGAATATTTTTATATGTTTTATTATTTAATTTTTTATGTTGAAAAATTAAATTTGATATTTCAAGTGTTTGTTCAATTGATAAAAATTCATTATCAAATGTATAAAGTATAAAATTAATTAATTTTTCAAAATCATTTTTATCATTTAATTCATTTTGAATGAAATGAATTAAATTTAAAAAATTTTCTTTATTTAAATTTGTTTTTATTAAATTAATTAATTGATCAATATTTGATATCGATATTAAACGAGATAGAATAAGTTTATATTGTTGTTCAGTAAGAAGTAATGAAAAAAATTTTGTTTGTTTTTCGATAAGAATTTTTAGACGTTGATGAAAACAAATGAAATTTGAATAATTAGCATCGATAATAACAAGAATTATTGTTGATAGAAGACAACGATTAATTTCAAAATCAATTGTTATTTCGTTGAAATCCATTACTTGAGAAATTTCTTCTAATAAATTAAAAAATTCTAAATGAGCCTTTGAAAAAAAGAAAAAGAAGAAATAAATTATTACGTATAAAATATAATAAATGAGAAGTATCATAAAGTAATGTGAAATCAGCTCATTCCGAACATTGAGTTTCTTATTTTTCGAATATTCAATTATAATGTCAAGAGTCGATTGTCATTTGAGTTAGTCCTCATTATAGTTTTATTCAAGACTTTTCAGAGCTCTATAAAAATGATATTATAGTATTGAGTTTAATTTCTGACGAAGACGTCGTAATCAAACCTATAATAATAATCGTAAGAGTCATCAGTTACTTTTTTTGACTCATGTTTGACAGGTTTTAGTCAGAATTTCTATGAAAACAAATGATATATTTGGAACCAGTATAAAAAACTAAGTCAATCTATATGTATCACAAAATCCTCTAAAAGCTTTTATATTTTAGATAAAATTTCAGCTTTAGTCCTCACAGAATTATGTCGAAAAATCAAGTCAGTCAAAACATCAGTTTGACTGAGAAAAATCACTTCTAAGTTTTTCAAAAACCGAAAAAAAATGCAAAATAACAAATGAATAGATAATTAAAAATGATATTTTGATTGACTTTATATGTCGACGTAATTCTAAGTGAAATTAGGACGAAGTTTTGAACGAAAATAACGATTATCGAAGAATATTTTGACACGTAAAAATCGACTTAGGTTTTTATACTGATTCCTCATGCATCAATTCTTTTGATAGAAGCTTTGGTTATTCTGATCAAAATTCGTCAAATGTAAGTTGAAAGACCTTTGAATACCGTTATAGGAGATCGATAATATTGAGTTTTGAGTCAGTTGCGCACAACTTTAATGAGATCTAACGATCTAATTCGAATGATAATTGATTGCTGACATCATAATTGAGTTTTCGAAAAATAAGAAACTCAGTTGTGAGATAGAGCCAGTTTTACTGCTTAACTACTACGCTTCTGTAAGTTTACCTGATAATCTTGTAAAAGAATATTATTTAATAATTGATTGAGAATAGTTCGGTCAATTGTTGGAAGAATTTTTTTATTTAAACGAAATTTTTCATATGCTTCATTGATTAATCGATAACGTATTTTTCCTAATGTTTTTTTTTCAAGAAAATTTTTTAATTCTTGACATTGTTCATTGGAATATTTTTGTCGATTTTCAAATATATTTATAATTGTTTGAGTAAAATAATCATATACTTCATTATTATTCATTAATGGTCTATGTTTTAGTAAAGATAGAAAATCATTTAAATCTAATTTTGTTGATAAACAATATGTTTTTAATTCATTTAATGATATTGGACGAGAATAAAAAGATGTTAAATGTTGTTGATCAATATTTGATAATGGACGAATAATTGTTGATTGATGAAGAAATTTATCAAGTAATTCTTTTAGTTGTTCAGTTGAAAATGTATTTGTATCCGAGCAAACCATTTCAACAAGAGAAATCAGACGAGATAGGACATGATTATCAATTATTGGAATAATATCTTCAGGTTTTCTTGACTAGAAAAATAAAATATAAGTTGTATAGAAAGAAAATATAAAATATTATCAGTCTAAATTCGTTTCTATGTTTTGTTAAAAGTATTCCGTCGTTTGATATTAATACTAAATGTCTATTAAGATCAAAGCATAGTTACCAAACAATGTTTTCAAGTTGCAACTATGTGCTTCATATAGATCCTAGTTGGTTCTAAAAATTTTGCAAAGAGTTCTACTTCATAGTTTATTGCTGCCTATAAATTGTATTTTTACGATATTTTTCAGTATGATATCAGAAACAGCAGGAAAATCGATTTTCAAAAGTTAGTTTGAAACTTTGCATGAAAACAAGCCTTAAAGAGAATAGTCTATTGTGAAAGTTTCAGATCTTTTCGCTGTTTTTATCTCAAGATATACTCATGTTAAAAGTGAGTCTTTTACATTGCTGCAGCAATAAGCTGTGAACCTGGACTGTTTCAAGGCTTTTATAACTCAATAGGTTCTACATGATACACATGCTTCGGAATCAAAAGCAATTAATCAGTTGGAGAACTCTCCTCGAAAGGCTTTTACTACGATCGAAGAAAGTTCAAGCCGTGGTTAATTTATATTATGAATCAGCTTTTTCGCTCGTAACAACATGTATACAAGACAAAGTTAGATAGATTGCTATAGGTCTCGTAGACTCTTGCTGAAGAAAAAAGAAATTTGTCAAAGACACTTCAACCTTAGTATTCATTTGGTCACGACCGATAAATGTCTATAAAAACACTTAGACTTGTTTTTTTGAATGTAGAGTGCTGTCTATGGTAGAAGAATTAATTTCAAATAAAGGTGACTGCCAAAGAGTATTTTATTCGATTACATTTTTTTGATTCTATTCAAAATTCCAGACGCCTTGATTTTATGTTCTTCAAATAAGAACAATAGATGTTGAATTACATCTGCTGGTCACAAAGAGTTTTCTGATTTTGATAAAAATGTTTAAAGTTATCCATCGAAACTGATCTTTGTCTGTACCAATCATCTTTATACTTGTAAGTTCATCAAATTCTTCAAAACGAATGGCATTTACTTTTAATGCCGAAGACAATATGATTAAATGTGTTAAAAACCCTTTCTAATAATATATAATGATAATTTCAACAGTTTTTTTTCCCGATTAATGGAACTAGCAATTAGATGTGATCGAATGAAAGCCATACATCAAACTCCGAAATCCGACTCTGACGGAATCGGAGTGACTATGCAGAATAAATTGTTATAAATCTATTCTTCTTATGCGAAGTTATGAACAAAATTATATCATTAACAAGTAGCAGCAAAAGGCATATATATATATATATGCTAGTCAAAGAAAAATCTTCAGGGTTCCTCAGAATCAAAAAGCTTCACTTCATATGGCTCTAGTTCGAGCCATGAAATTCCTCATTCATGTCAAGTCTCAATTTGGACTTCAATTGTTGAATATTTTTGAATTATAAATCAGGCATTTAGATATTTCGACAAATATTGTACAGTGCGTATCACACTAAATAAGAGTCTTATGAAATAATGCTCGTTAGATACGAGATCGTTTCGATTCTCCAAAAAAGTCAAACGATCCAATCTTTGTTGTCTATAAGTTTTGAATTCAAATTTTAGGTTTAACACTACTGAAATCTACTCCTATGAAACAATCTTATTCATCTTTTAAAATTCAATTTAAATTTTGTGGTATGTTAAATCAATCAATTATATGTTATAAAATATACCTGATCATTAGTTCCAGTTACTGTATGATTTACAGATGAGAGTTGTTCGATCTAAATAAAACGGAAAAAAAAAGTAATTGATTATAATTAAAATAAATAATTGATTTACTTGTTCATCATTTAATTCTGGTTTTTGTCTATCAAGTATCATTTTAATTTGTTTGTAAGCTAATTTTTTATCATCAATATTATGACTTTCTAATTTAATTTTAATTTGATTTAATTCATAAATAGTTATTGGTGCTTGTTTATGATTTAAGTAATATTGAAAATAAAACTTTTGTATTGAATTAAATAATGATGATTGTATAGCTGCTTTTAATATATATTCATATTGATCTTTATTTAAATGTCCACTACTTGTCATTAATAAAACAGCAAAATACCACATTGCATTTTCAACAACAATTTTTTCTGATTTAATATCTTCATTAAAATTTGTATTTAAAATTTGTTCAAATTCTAAAATCCATTGATTAAGATCAATTAATAATTGATCATTTTTAAATAAAATTAAACGTTCTTTCCATATTTGTTTTTGATGATTACGTTCAAAACGTTTGATACGAATATCAAAACATATATGAAGTTCATTAAGTTGTTCATTTGAAAAAATATTTTTTTTTAAATCAAATAAAATTTTTTTTGTTAAATATTCAATAGATTTTTTATCAATATACATATTTGATTTAAGTATATCTGTAATTAAATTAAATAAAACTATGGATATAGGTGATGTTGAACGAATAATATATTCTTGAAAATCATTAAATATAGTTTGTTGAATTTGTGTTACATTATTAATATGTTCTCTTATTTTTATTAATGGTATTAAAATACGTTGTCGACAAAATATTGAACGATCTTCATTTAATAAATGATATTTTTGTGGTAATAAAATATTTTTTAAATGATATAATTTTAAATATTGATCATTTGTAAATAGAAAATCATTTTGAGCAACATGACAAAATAAAGAATAGAAAATTGATTCTTTTTCATTGAATATTTTTGAAAGATTTTCTCCATGTTGTTTTTCAAGTTGTTGTATAAGTGAAAGAAATAAATCAAATGCATTATTTTGTTCTTCAATTGTTTGAGAACTATTGATTACTTTTGATAATTGATTATAAACTTGTTGAATTCTATTTTGATCTTTTTCAGTAAGATTTTTTTCTATGGAAGATATCGATGCTGAAGATTTTGATTGATTTTGTTCGTTTTTATTAGTCAAATCAGTACGAACACGATTACGACACAAAACTTTTGAATTAACTTGTTTCATAGGACAATCATATTGAACATGACCGTATTCACCACAAATATAACAATCATCTGAAATAGATAAATTATTGATTTAAAACAATGTTGAAACATTTTTATGACTTACAAAGTTGAAGATCGACTCCATATTTGTTATTGAATGGAGGGGCTCGTCGTCCTTTATTTGTACCAGTATCCGATCCTTTACGAGGATTATTTGTATATTCGTTATCTCTTGGTTTTCGATTATTGTTTCCTTGAGTTGAAGTTTTATTTATACTATTTCGTTCAGAATTTCGAAAATCTATTTAGTTATACATATAAATATATTGTATTGAAGTTGATTTGATTAAGTTAAACAAGCAAGAGTTATGTATTTCAATAGTTTCATCAGAATGTTACTTCAGCTGAGCAAGAAATGTATTTTCTTTTTTGTAATACCAATTATACAGAAAATATTAAAGGCGAGAAGATGTTAAGTGTTAGAAATATTAACTCAAGTGTTCGTAGATTATCATTTGAGACAAAATGACAGATTGTGATAGGTAATTTCATGGATAGTCAAGAACAAAAAGACATAATATTTTTCAGAAGACTTTTTTGCGTTTGTAGAGCTCCATTAAGCATCATTTAGGAATAGTCGAAATTTTTAAGTATTTTGATTCTCGCACCATGATTTTTGGAGTAAATTTGAATATTTTTCTTGCCAAAACGATCATTTACATGTTCGGTGGTATTATGTAATATAAGTTCGCGTAAAAACGATGAAAATACAAACTAATGACAAAAATGAACTTATTGAACAGTGCTGATATTTTTTTTTTTCGCAATAATCAATTATGAAAGTTAACCCAGTGTAGATGCTTTCTTTTGTATTCAATTGTGAAAAATAAATTTTACATAAGAAAGAATGAAACATGAATATGATATAAAGAATCAGTGACCAATCTCTTTTCTACAGATATTTTCTAACTTTCTTGCCAATAATATCGTGTATTGAAGAGTTTTTTTTTCTAGAAAAGTATATTTGATATTCAGTTAAATATTGATTCTAACAATACTATCGTAAGGTTACAATTCTTGTTCGTTTAATCGAATTAAGATAACTTTGATATGATATATGGTATTTCAAATATTAAAAAAAAATGGGAAAAAACATATAGCTTACCAGGTTGATTATCATGTGAATGTGTAACATGAATATTATGTTGATTGGATATTTGTTCTATATACTTGAATACATTTGAAATATAAAAATCTATTGTATGACATACTTGTTAATGGTCGACTTTTCTCTTTTGATGACATTGTATTTGAACCATGACGAGATGCATCATCAGTAAAAACATGTCTTTGCTGACCTTGATTATTTGCATTTCGATTTGATTTTTTATTATTATCTTGTATTTTTGTTATGTTTTCGTCTTCTTGTTCTTCACTATCAGTGGCATCTTCATATAAATCATCATCATCATCATCGTCCTCATATTTATCTGGTTTTTCAAATGTACGTTCTTCTACATTTTGTAACCAACTATCAATAATTTGATTTTGTGACATGGACAAAACACATGCATTTGATGCTAATTCAAGTAAGAAACATAATTGATCATCATGAAAAAATTGATTAGATGATGTGAGAATTATTTGAGATATACATTCGAAAAGTAATTCATGATATCCATGTAATTGTTTACGTGTTTCAGGTGTCTGAAGAATACTAATTAAAGAATCATAAGCAGATATAACTTGGTTTTTATCATTTGATGAAGATGATAATTCATTATTCAGTAATTTTTGAAGACGAATTTCAACTTTATCTTTAGCCATATTTTTATCTTCAATATGTTTTTAAATATTCTTTTTGAAATACTACAATATATATGACTGAAAGAAGAAAAGAAATGAATAAAATTTCGTAATTCAAATATTTATTTATTATTCTAATAAGATCCAATAAAACAATATAAAATAGATTCAATTTTTTCCAGTTATTTTTAAAGATGTCGCAATATTCTGAATTGATCCAAAAAAACAAAGAATAATATGTCATACTGTGAGCATCTGTTGTTTGTTATTTATTCGATTGATCTTGAAACTCAATCGTAAATCATCATTTTCGCCATTGAGAATCTTCTATCACAAAATATCTGTTTTAATTATACTGCAGCTTTTTAAATGATACATGATCATGTTTAAATCCGATGCGATTTATCTTGACATTTAACATTGTTCACATGCACAAACCTGTTGTGTCATTCCACTTAATCTACTTTGTATATAGTCTCTAACTGAAATAATATCCATACTATGGCAGAAATGCGTTGGGTAAGTCTTTTTCATACCCTGTATTCTGACTGAGAAAAATTTTCTTCCTCTAAACCTCAGGCTAAGGTAGGGTAACCTTGCACATCTTCATATCATGATGTGCTCCATTTTCTCTTGTACCTATTTTAACTTTAGCATTAACTGAAGTATACTGTCGATTTAAACCTGAGAGAAACATTTATTTATAACTATTCAAAATCAGTGTTATACTATCCTAAATATTGTCTCGACTTCTATTATATTTTCGACATTGTCGAAAGGTGTCGACGTTGTTCTTCTCACATAGTTTTTCATCATCGTAAATGAACCAGCTTGAATGATAACCGATCTATGTATATGAAAAGAGAAACTTAATGAGTCAAGTAGTTATTGGGTAATGATACTCAAATAATATCTATTAATAGAAATTTCAAATGAGTATATGGCTGAATATTTATAACCAATGTCAACAAGAAAATCAAGTTTAGAAAAAAAAATGAAATATAATACTTCTACAAAAAAAAAATATCATTGCCTCTTGTAAACTTCATTTGTGATATGATGATTGTTGTTTTTGCTTTTATTGAAAGTATAGATTAGTTATCAGTGAGAGAGGATCACTGTCGTTATTTCATTTGTAAAAGAATGCTATGATGATTGTTTTTCATTGCCCTTGAATTGTCAATAACACTTTAGTTGAGTATTACCATTTATAAAAATCTCGAAAACAAAAAATCTACTTAAGAAACACTTCAATCAAAGATAAAAAGGTAGATAGTCTTTTTTTATGTTAGTTTAATTTTATTATTATTTATTAAAATATGAAAGCAAAAAGACAGATCAATGTTTGAAACGTATGTCTATTGATCTATGTTTTTCTCTCTATTCTAATCTAGTCTGTATAACCTGTAAAACTTATCGTGCTTCAAGACTATAGTCGGAGCTCTTTCAGTTCCAACTAATCGTTTCATAGTTTCTTTTGATGGATCATCAAGAACGATTATTTCATGTTTATGATATGACGTTTTCTAGTTTTGGTTCATCAGAATATTGGCTACCTATGGCTTTTAGTTATATTTTAAGCTGACAGAGTGTCGTCCTATCTTGCTCTAGTCTTGAATCGAAATCTTGATTATTGAGTAAGGAAAATTTGATAGTATCCATATGTAAATGGCATTTACAATAAACAGCTGCATCAGTTGTTACCAGGGCCTTGACATAAGATGGTGTATCAATATAATTATATCGAATGCAGTAACATGTTGACATTTTTTTATCCATGATCTGAATGATTGTATATTCTGAATCGATAGTGGTGGTGGTAGTTTAACTCATCTATTGATCTGTTCCGTAAGCTCTTTTTTAATTTCACATGAGTATTTAATCTAGATGATCGAGTCAATTAGAATGTATTACATCTCCTTGTCCAAGTCAGAATAAGACTTGAGTATGATTTTAGTGTGTAGTATTGATATCAACGTCAAAATAACCTATGTGTTATTAAAAAAGAAACAATGTTTCACTATTTTTATTGATATGAAAGTTCTAACTGCATGTAATTGTGATGATATGTGAAGATTCATCTCATTGCTTATGCTCGTTCAATTTCATAAATAACGCACGAGGAAACATCCCCAACTGTCAAATTGCTTTTTGATCGAGTATACACTCAAACAATAGACCTTAATGACCTATTAAATATCTTAGAAGGGTTTAGTTTTTCAGGCCTCATGAGCAGAGATATGCAATTATTACTATTACTAGTTTAGTTGTACTAGTATGCTAATATATTCGATATCTTGACTAAAAATCCTCTGATCTGACTCAAATTTATATCAGTAGTAAGGCACTCAGTATTGATTAAGATTTCAGAGTTTGAAGATAAATCATTGTTTTTTATCGAAGATATGAATTTGTTTAGTCTGCTGATTGCTTATTAAAAAATAGCCTGTGCTCTTGCTTCAAGATGCAAGCATTGATTCATCTGATATTTTCAGCACACATTCATTTCATAGTGAGCATGCATGTGGAAATCTTAGTTTATTTGTTGGTGCTTTAGTTAATAAAAATTGGAACCATGAATTCGTGTACTTTTCATCATGTGATCTATTTTCAGTCGCATATTTATAAATCAGAAAAGAATCAACAAAAACAAAGAAAATGAAGTGAATCATTTAATCAGTAGAAGTGAGAGTTGTTGAAAAAATGGTCAATACATAATATATAGTCACGAGAAACAATCACATCCATGATATTTGTAATCGTAGTAGAAATTAATTATCGTGATTAAATATATATATGTATATTCAACGCGAAAATGTGCTCCTGCAGACATTCCTTCTTCATTTTGCATACGTCTCATTTGCAACAGCATCTATCACTCATATATTCAGTTTTATATGAGAAAGATTTTCTGCACAACGTTGGACTCAGTCTTGACATTCGAACAGATTTCTAAACAATGTACTTTGTTAAAAAAAAATAATAAATAACGGGTGGACCAGAATAAATTGCCCTCTTAGTATGTTTGAAATTTCTTCTCTATTATCCCTGTGATTAAAATACTCTTTTTTATCAAAAGATAGCGCTTGAAATTCTCTACAAAACCATATACGATCAGTTTTCCAAAACTGTTTTAGATGCATTTGAAAAAGATGAAAAATAAAGACATGCAAAAAAGCTGTAAAATGTAACGGATTGGATATAATGAATGGCCACGCTCTGCACCCAATTTTTTCATCACTTACTTCGCTCTGTTAGAGGAACAAAATATGCCAAAAGATGCAGCGTGAAAAGCTCTACAATTTGCATAAGACCACTTATTTTATAGTTGCCATTTTTGTTTTCAAAATGGACACAATTTTTCAGGAATCAAATTTTGGCCGCGCAATTTTTGGTACAAGGTAAATTCGCTTTTTTCTTATTTCATTTTTTATAATTATTTTTTTGTAAATTGTAGAGCTTTTCACGCTGCATTTTGTGGTGTATTTTATTTATTCTTTAATGGAGCATATCAGGTAATAACAGGATGAAATAAGAAAAAACGAATCCACCTTGTACCAAGAATTGCGCGACCAAAATTTGATTCCTCAAAAATTTTTTCCATTTTGAAAACAAAAAGGGCAACTATTAAATAAGTGGTCTTATGCAAATTGTAGAGCTTTTCATCCTGCTTCTTTTGGCATATTTTGTTCCTCTAACAGAGAGAAGTAAGTGATGAAAAAATTGGGTGCAAAGCGTGACCATTCATTATATCCAATCCGTTACATTTTACAGCTTTTTGCATGTCTTTATTTTTCATCTTTTTCAAATGCATCTAAAACAGTTTTGGGAACTGGTCGTATGTGGTTTTGTAGAGAATTTCAAGCGCTATCTTTTGATAAAAAAGAGTATTTTAATCACAGGGATAATAGCGGAGAAATTTCAAAAATACTAAGAGGGCAATTTATTCTGGCCCACCCGTTACTTCTTTCTAATATTAGAAGCACATATTCATTTAACTTCGATTCGTAATAAATATATGCTATGATATGTGTATACAAAAAAAAAAAACATTTTTTTTCGTTAATTTTTGCCACTACATATGAATTCAGAGCAGACGTCTAGTATCATATTAAGTAAAATTACGCATATGATTACTTTTTATTTCGCTTTATATTATGTATTTTAAGTTTGCTTGCTATCGACATTCAACCTGTTAGTTTCTTTTTCTTATGTAATAATTTGTCCTATACAGTGTTCTCAAAGTTCTTCAACGGTGTTCGAGTGAATTTTTTGCAAGTATAACAGATCAGTTTATTTACTTAGTACTAAATAATTATCAAATTTTAAATCGATAACTTTTACTATAGTTGAGAAACTGTGACAACACTAGTACATACGATTTTATGTATATTCCAATTCTTTTGACCTAAAACTTATTTTAATTGTACTTTTAGTTATCTATCATTCTTTGACATAAAAAACATAATAAATTTTTTGTAATCCTTTTTTAATGTCATTTTTTCATTGTCCTATCCCATTGTCTTCTCGTGTACATAAATTCTCTTTTAATACATTCCAGATGTGTTCTATCGGATAAATGTTGGCTTGTTGTACAGTACAGTTATATGGTTTCATTAAATTGATAAAAACATGCTCGACGAAATTTAAAATTATACATGTCTTTTATTTCGAATCTTGCTCATCTTAAAAAATTAAATTTCGTATATCACCGAATTTGGTTAGTTGGGTTTTTTTGCTAATCGGAACTTTTATATTTCACCTATTGATAGGTACAGAAATGAGAATATGCTTGTAAAAAAAAACAACTTTTTGTTTTGATGTGCTTCATAAAGAGCACATAAAATCAAATATGTGCCCGAAAACGTTTTTTATCGTGTTTCATCAGCTTCAGTAGTTAGAAAATTTGATAAAATAGTGCGTGATAGTCTGGTGACAATTTCTCACCTATAGTGTAAAAATTATTGATCTAAAACTTTGTAGTTATTTAGTACTAGGTTTATAGCATACTTTGACAAAGTCATGAAAAGTTCGATTTTATTGAATATAAGAATAATGAATTTTAAAATCATTTCTCTATGTGTTGAAATTACAATAATATTTTTCATCATTTGAAAAGATTTGTGAGTGTAGTGTCATACTTTCTGTTACCGATGCCATATAGTTTTGAGTATTATTAATATTATAAGTGTCATTTATTTGTTACATCTATTCATGATGTTTAGTGTAAAAAATTTATTTTTCGTCATGTCTTTTATTGAAATGATGTATTCAAAGCAATATTATATGTTGACACGAAAGCTTAGCTTCAAATATCCATAGATTATATTTTCTCTTTGCAGTTATCATCTTACTATTTGATATAAGTCGTTGAAAACAATGCTGACAGATTGTCTACGAAAGAATTTCATGATATTAATTGGTAATGGTTGAATAAATAAGCGTCAAAAAAGAAAACAAACTGATATCGACAGATTGCAGTAGAACTATTAATTTGCAACATATGTGTATGTGCATGTATTTGGTTCTTATTGTTATCTTCTTTCTGTATTTAGTATTTCTTTTTTTTTTCATCTTCATAGTAGCATTCGTCATTTTGATCTTTCAACAGTTTTATTGACGTTCTTTTTTTATGTTCGATGTTTTAGGTTTTTTTTTCTTTTGCTCTATCAATATAACATGTGTCTGATAGTCTTATATATGACGGTCATAATTCTTCAATGGAGTTAAAATCATAGGAATAGGTCCGTATTCACATATTCAACAAAAACAGTCATTATCCTGTATCACTCTATATACTTGTTATTCACTCATACTTGTTGTAAAATTCAAAATAATTATGTTTGAAACATGGTGAGTTGTCGTATTTCTTATCATATATGTGAATATATTCAAATTTAGTTTACTTTCTATTTTATCGATGTTTTTGCCACCTGTTGTTGTCTTAATCAAAGTGGGTAAGATTTCGAAAAAACAAAAAAAAAAAAAAGAACTTTCTCTTTTGAATAAACAAATTCAATCGATATGTGTTTTAAAGGATATACGGAACGATTCTTACTAAATATTTTACTAACTCTTTGTGGTTTTATTCCTGGAATAGTTCATGCATTATTCATAGTATGGTTCAATAGAAATCAATAAATGATATTGGTTCATTATTATAAATCATAATAAACTTATTATATTGATATTTTATGTCTTACTATTCGTTTTTTTTTGCTCGATATAATTCATTAAAATTAAACTCAAACAATTGTAGTATTTCATTGACAACTTTAGTTGTAAAGATTTTTTCTACATAATCTTAACATTGAACTTCTTAAAGAAAATGATCGTCACCTAACCTTCTTTTTTTTTTTCATTATTCATCAACATTTGCTCTTTTTCTGTTTAATGCATACGAGGTCGTGTAAATGACATCATGTTAGGAAGAGAAAAAAAAAGATTGAGAATTACATTTTGCGCTTACTTATTAGATGCCATTCAAACCGACGAGAAGAGAAAAAGAACACACAATAAAAATATAACCTGAATGGAATTGTTAAGGTCTATGTGGGATGTCGGGTTAGTATTGTTCTATGAGGGGAAAAAATAGGTAAGTTCTTAGTCTCAAAAGGAAGCAACCAAGAACAAAAAAAAAAAAGGAAAAAAATGTTCTTGCCCCTTTCTTTGTCCGTGTACACATTCTCTGTTTGCTTCATTCATTCATTATTGATTGAACATTAAAGATTATATATATATTTATATATCGATTTAGATGGAGAATCCACCAGATCTCATTGTTGTTACTGCATCAGATGAACAATATCAAGATAAACAGAAATTAATCGTTGAAAATATTAATCAAGAACAAGATAAACAACATGATGAATCAATAGCAAATCTTCAATCGGATAAATATGCTCTTGAATGTCAAGTTAAACGATTACAAGCTCAACTAACCGTACGTAATAATTATGAATTTGATGAACAATCACGTTTATTACAACAACGATTTCAAGATGAAATTCAATCTATTATTCATCATCATACAGAATTAGTTCAACATACTACCAATGAACTGTCTGCTTATATAACAAATGTTCTGCGAAAAAGTATGGAAGATATCGAAAGTTTAAGGTAAGTTTTCTTTTTTTTTTATGTTGAACGTCATTAAAAATTTTGTTTTCCTATTCTCCAACATAAAGCTTATTACATCAAAAAGAATTATGTGTACATTCGAAAATTATGACTGATTGTATTCAACAACAATGCAGTGAAATGAATGAACTAAGTCATCATTTGATTAATCAACAACACACAATGCCTATGCATTTGTTTAATAGTCTTATTGATGATTTTCGAACTTCACTTAACGATCTGAAGACAAGTTTTGATTCAAAAATTAATTATCTAAGTGATATTCATTTATCAACAATCGACAAATTAAATACGAAACATGAAATTGAGATTAATGAAATGAAATGCGAATTAAATTTAATGTCTAATCGATCTAACTAACTAGCTCTATATTAATTTCTTTTCTGTATCATACTCCACGTAATATAAAAAGCTATTACATGACAAATTATTAGTAAAGAAAAAAAATAGATGTCATTTTTCGAAAGTAGAATTCAGTTGAATAAACATTTTACAAATTAAATAGTTTTATAATATTAAAATTAAATAGAAAAGCAAAATTTAGTGCTGCATTTTATTTCTTGAACTATTTTGACTTAATAACAATTCAATACAACCTATTCAACATTAAAGATTGATGCATTGGTCCATATGTCATTACAATAACGACTTAATGTTTAATATACAAACGAAAGTAGATAAAAAAAAGAAAAAAGGTCTTTAATACATATATTTTTACTGACAAAAACCACTATTTACAAGTTGGTTTCAAATTCGAATCAGTGAGATATAGAATAAAGCAATAAATTGTTTCTGACACGGATGAATTACACATGTCATTAAAGTTGTATTTAATCACTGATTTCCATAAATGATTATAAATTAACGATTTGGTAAATTCAGAGGCTATTATAATTTCAACTTTAGTCATCAGAATTTTAATCTAAAAGAAAGATTTAGTTTCGTGATGGATGCTACTACTAAGACATGAATGAGATTGAACAACTAAGAAAAAAAAAACAATCGAACTGAACTTTGCATTCATATTCATGTATTTCAAAAGATGTTTTTGATAGTATCGATACTTTCAAATCAAATAATTTTTCTATTGTAGATTTAGTTTTAGATGAGTTTTTCAATTATAGATTGACGTAAAGTTGAAAAATTAGTCTTTATTCTATAAGATGACCTATTTTGTTATTATTCTTTTATTTCTGATTTTTAATCACTTGTTCTCTTCCATTCTCCCTTTTAGATTGTTAATTTATGAAAAGAATCGAGTATCTGTGAAGTGATTTCAGAGAAAAACTCGATTCAAAACATTGATACGTATAAGTGAACGGTTGTTTTTCAGTTTTTCCTTGTTTCTTTTTTAATTTTGTTTTTGTTTAATTATAAAAAGTTGCATGTCACATTAATATTTTTTTATTACATGTTTTATTCCTGTAGAATAATTTAAACACTCAAAGTTTCAATGAAAACATTCATTAACATAAATAATACAGTAATACTAACTTATCTGTGTAACAGTTGCGATTGAGATTACATGAGTAATATTACTTCTATTATCACTAGAGTGAAGAATAATAATTGATCATAAAACCACGATTTATCAAAAAAATCATCAGAATCATCGGAAAAAAATTGGTTGTTTTATCGCATTTCAGCTCACGATTATCGTTTTGATACATCTTGGTTAATTGTTAATAAAGCTGTCGTCGTCTTTTTTACAAGAATATAGAATGATAAATGAAATAATAATTCAAGGAAGCATATTTTCTCTGATTTTTTTCTTATTAGTGAAAGATTAACAGCAATACTGAAATAAGCATGCTCACAACACAAATATATATCTGGTGCATAACAAAAATCTTCGATAGGACTGACTTTAGTTAGAAGTGAAACCAATGATTATTCCATTCTTATATTATATCTGTACTTGATTAATTGATTCAATTTTGAGACGTATAACACACAAAACAATTTCGATAAAAAAACCATATAGATTTTCCATACATAAGGTGATGAATATAGTACAGCATGTAGGTAGTCGGTTGTGTACATATTCGGCCTCCACACTTTGCATCACGATTATTTAGAAAAGGACGAATATCTAGCAACTCTTTCGAGCTTTGTCAGAAAGATCCATGCCTCGAGATAATACAAACGTTTTTAATTCATCTCTAAGAAGCTTTGCAAAATGATGGCTTTGACGATTCGCCTTTCATCTTTTACTGAGGGGTGTGAGTGTAAGAATAGCCGGAGAATTTATCTACACACGTACCTATAATGATGCTCCTGTATGCATCTAGAAATTCGAGTTCTATCTGCATTTTGATAGGCTTTCGTCGTTTGTTGTTTTGATTTCAGGTGACTTTCAAGGATTATGCATATATCACGTTTATTTAGCTATAAGGCATTTTTCATCTTATCGAAGTCGAGAAGGACGTCTCTTATTCATTGCCTGAAGGACAAGACAGAGAGAAAAAAGTATACCGATGTGATGGCTACCATCAAAAATGTATATACTAACGATCAAGCGATAAGAATATCATTGAAGGTATATGATGAATGAGAGATAGTTAAACTGATAGACTAGTAAAATAAAAGGTTATTCATGTGTGACCAAAAGAAAATGGAGAGGAGACGAATAGTCGTTTTTTTCTCACTAGCATTTTTTCGATTTCTCACAATCACTTGCTTATGTATTCTTAAACATGCAACAGGACTTGGAATCAACCCGAAAAATAAACTGATCTGTATATATGAAAGATATACATCAATATTGTAGTCTCAACTTTCGCTCTGTAGCAATTGACGTGCCAAAAAGAAAATGACTTCGATTTAGATGGTAAGTAATTTTAAATAAGCATTAAGTAAAAAATCCGATTTGTGCTAAGCTTTTTATCTAAGCTCTGAGTAAAGAGACAAATATCTGAGTAAAAAATTTAGTTGTACAGTTATTGTAATAGTAAAGCTTTTGTTGCTTTTCGTCATCGTCTCCTTATTCATTTGTCACTCAGTGCTATATCCTTTGCTAATGGAAATGCTTTTCAAAACTTCAAACTTATATCCATACCAATAATATGTTCGCACATGTTCTTTGAAGCAGCTGGAATAATAGTTCAGTCTGATTTGCTATTCTGATGGAGTCTAGGGATATGGGTGTTTTTGAAAGGAAGACTAAAACTCACTAACACCAAAATCCTAAATTTATATCTACTGACACCCTTTTACGCACGAATCAATATAAAATAGGTTCTCAGTAACCTTATTCGTATGAGAAAGTTTTGTCCATTTCACCGTGCATGTGTCGATATGAGCTCTAGATGTTAATGAAAGTCGTCTTTTTACAAATACTCTTGTTTCTACACTCATTACCACACTCTAAATTTGGAATAAACTTTCAATGACTGATATTTACACAAAAACAAGGTGGACAGTAAGTGAGAACTTACTAGAAAATGGGAAGCCCAAAAAAAACTTTTGAAAACTCAATAAAGATCAGTATAGAAGAAACGGAAGCTAGAAAAGAAATTATTATATTGGAGCATCCTCGAAGAGAAAATGTGTACATTAACGCATGACATCAGAACATAAAATACAGGTGAAATAAACATATATCACGGTAATAGTTTAACATTGCCACAAGGAAAGAAAGAGAAAATGTAAACGCCATACTATCATAAAAAGATTTATCTTATTTATATAATCGGACTTAGTCTTGACTAGAAATTATTTAGAAATTAATTAACTAACTTAGCGAATATTTCTATTACTGAGAAGCTATAAATTAATTGATCATTAAATATTTTCATTTAGCAGTCAATTTATTTACTGAATAAGTACAAATTTCACTTAGCCAAAGCAAACTTAGCATTTTAATAATTTTAGTTAGCAAATATATTGTAGTCAAGTAACATTAATATCTTAAAGTACTTGCCTTATTAGAATGATTAAAGGATGATGCAAAGGTAATTCAACGAGATGTTTCATTTCATTTATAATCAATTAGAATAATTCAGATCATTCAAAAAAAAATGAGTGCATTTTGATCGTTTTTCAGTCACATTCTTGTAAAAATGGTTAGACTTTCATTTTTCTAATTTCATACTTATTATGTACGGTAAATTATATAAATTCTACTGTTTAGAAAATTGACTTTTAAAACGTTAAAGCATTTTCAAAGTTTCATTATTCATTGGTCAAATTCTAAATAGTTAGAAAATTTTTGATTTTCGAAAAGATTCATTTTTGTGAAAGTTGAAAATCAACAATAATTCCAAAACAATATTCCAAATTGTATTTCTATTTCAAGACAGTCATCGTACTAATTATGACATGTTTCTTATGTCGTATAAATAATTTATTTTTCATTCGTGTGCCTTATCTTTGATCTCTTGTTGAGTAATTTTCTTTTTGATTGTTCTATGTTGACATACTTATTTAACATGTTTTCAAATCGTTCGTATTTTTTTGTTTATTGAAGACTTAAGTAAAAGTAAAAATATCGTTTTCATGGTCTTTTCTATTTTGCTGCTTTATTTTAGATTATTAATATATGGAGTGTACTGCTGATGATATTTCAAGATGGCGGGCTGAAGAATGTTTCAAGAAATATGCTAACATGTTAGTTTGCAGCTAATCATACGGGAAGAAGAGTCCGACAAGGTGCCATGTTCAGATATGAATCCAACATGATTCTATCGAATTATAGGTGTATCCTACATCCAACAACTTCCTACCGGAATCCTGTACCAAGAAATCTAACGACTTATTGTATCTTCCTACAACTTCCAATCGGATTCTGTCGGATGTAATTGAATTATTGGAAGAATACTACGAATTCGATCAAATTCAAATCTAGGATTCTTCCTTCTGGGTAGCGTCAACAATAAATATTCAGCACTTAGAAAAATGAAAATAAATGGACATATAAGAGAAACAAGATGTAAAATAAAAAAAAATTGACAACAACGAAAATTTTGACATAATTTATAACACGTGATATTTCGGTATCTATCTCACAGATACAGCGGCGGATCTAGAATTTTTTTGATATGGGGCGATTTTGACCAAAAATCGAGTTTTGCAGTTCATTAGTAGTAGTATACACTCTATTTTTAAGTCTTTTCTGCTGGGAAAAATCGAAAATTTTTTTTTCGAATGGGGGCGATCGCCCCAAGCGCCCCCCCCCTAAATCCGCCACTGCACAGATACCGAGAGCATGGTCAATTCCGCTTTCCAGGAAATTCAAAATTGGCTACACCTCGAATCATGGTACGGAGTTTTATATATGCATAATATATGGTTCCATGTGGGATTGGGTTGGGTCGGGTTGGCTTGGGTTGGGTTGAGTTGGGTCAAGTAACAATATATAT